TTTTAAATGACACTTTTCTTCTTTTTAATTCTTTCCTAAGTTCTAAAATTTCTGCTATTTCATTGTTGTGTACCTTGACATGCCCTTAATTTTTTTTTAGCTTATTTTGAATTACTTGACTTTAGCTTTTTTTTTTTAAGATTTATTTATTTATTATGTATACAGTGTTCTGCCTGTATATACACCTGCTCGCCAGAAAAGGGCACCAGACCTCTTTATAGATGGTTGTAAGCCACCATGTGGGTGCTGGGAATTGAACTCAGGTCCTCTTGGAAGAGCTGTTAGTGCTCTTAACCTCTGAATCATCTCTCCAGCCCAACTTTAGCTTTGTCAGTTTTCTGTGCATAACCTTTCTTTGTGTGTAGTGATGTTCTGTTCTTTAATCCATCCTCAGTATTAGCTACATGTGGAGATAAGACCATTATCACTGCCACCTTTTTTCTGGACCTGTTCATTCCTTTGCTCATGTTGTCTCCATTCCACTCAATTTAATTTCTATTCTCAGCACCTTTTCCCTTAATAAAGACTACATTGGAAGGGAGCTGATTGGCTGTGGCCACCATCATATCCAGCCAAACTCAAGTAAGTAAGAGTACTCTAAGATTCAGCTTCAGTTACAGCACCAATCTCCACACTAGCCAATGAGAATGTGATAGTTAATACAGCAAATAGGTCCTGCTCTCAAGTCTACCATATACCCTATCGATTCACTCAGCTGACATGCAGACTGGTGTGGGCCCAGAAGCTAATGGTGACTTAACTACTTATTCATATTTTAAGGTAATGTACAAAGAGATTCTATTTTTCTTGTTTTGTTTACGATTGTATCTTAAATCTAATAGGTTTATTTTATGTTCTAAAATATCTACTAAAGGAGCAGTCAGAAGAATGGACAGGAAAACAGTAAAGACAAGATGGGGAGCTCAAACAGGATGGGATGAGGCTAGTTAGGGCAGGAACTGAGGGCGAAGAGGAAAAAATGGAAGCACTGTCCTAAGAAAGGAGGGCTGAACAACACACAGTAAGATGATGGGATTCTAAGAGGAGGAATGAGGAGCACACAGGATGGGAACTGTAAACAACAAGAGAGGGGAAGAGTGAACTGAACACAGGACTAAACAGGATGACAAAACAAGGTGGAAGGGAGTGGGCCACAGAACCAAAAAGAGGGTAAAACAGGAGGGGACAAAGAGAAGCTAGTGAAAGAAAAGAAAAATGAATAAACTTGTTTATTATTGTTGAACAGTTGATGAAATGTGTACTAAGTGAAAAATTTTACTAAAAGTAAAATTTAGCTGTATCACTGACAGCAAAACTGCTCTCAGAGGACATGCATGTGTAGTGCCCCCACATCCCTACACCATTTTAAGCTCCCTAGAGCAGGAAAGCTGTGGTGCTGTTGCACTACTGAGATGGAAGAGCATGCTGCTTTCTCATTTGGGAACTAAATACCAGCAAAAACCTCTCCCTCCTAATACTACATTACATACATTATTAACAGTGTTACCAGAAATACTAGACCCTTCTGGATCTTCCTAGGCTAATCCAACTGGAACAAATTAGGCATGAGTATGTCTTGTCGCCTAGTACACCTAGAATACTACACACACACACACACACACACACACACACACACGTGTGTGTATGTGTTTATACAAAGCAATCCTTTGCAATTACATTCTGAGTGGTTTTTTAACATTCAATTCCAATTTTTTTCTAAAAGTAATTTACTTTAATTAATTAATTCTATAAGCAAAATATACTATGTCTTCCCAAACTATTTTAAATATACTTACTGGAAGCATTGCTTCAGCCCATTCACCATGTCCTCTTTGGAGAAGTTTAATTCTTTCCAGATCATAACAAACTTGCACAAGATCACCCACTTGAAACTGCGAGGTGCCTCCTTCTGCACCCTGGGCAGCATCCCCACTTCGGACAATGTTTGCCTTAGTGAGAACAGCAGGATTGAAGGTCCACCTACAAGAGCAAAACCAGGCTCAGAACGAGTGAATTCACTTAATACATCTTTAAACACTGCAGGGAGAAAAACCTTGCACCACTTCAAAATACTAAAGCAATCCTCTGCAATTACATTCTGAATGATTTTTGTTTATGTAACTTTCAGTTCTTACTAGTACACACGATACATAAAGAACATCCTTGTGTATACATCGTTGTGCACATAGAGTTGGTTTCTGCAGAGCTGCTTAAGGAAAAGCTTTCTTTCCTGATCACATATATTTAGTTACCCTTCTATCCTAGACAAACTGCCTACCAAATGTACCATCCCCTATAAAGAGTTCTCAACTCATGGGACTCAACCCTTTTGGGATAACAACTCTTTCACAGGCGTCCCCTATCAGATATCCTGTATATCAGACATTTACATTGCAATTCATAACAGCAGCAAAACTACAGTTATGAAGTAACAATAAAATAATTATATATTTATAGGGGTCACTACAACATGAGGAACTGTGTCAGGGAGTCACAGCCTTAAGAAAGGTGAGAACCACTGCTCTAGAGCACTACCAATCTCATAGATAAAGACTGTCGAGTTTTAATAATAGACATAATTATTATGTCTATTAAATGCTTTCCGTAATTGTAATAGCTGTATCGAAATAAACCTGATCTGGGGCTATAGCTCAGTGATGGTGAGACTGCCTGGCATTGCCTAAATCCTGGGTTCAATTTCCCAGAACCACGCACAAATAAAATCAATTTTGGTTTTTTTTTTTGTTGTTGTTGTTGTTGTTTGACAGAATTTCATATTGTCCAGGCTAGCTTCAAACACATTCAGAGCAACCTTATTCATTTGTTCTCCTGCCTCTTCATCCCAATGCTTAGATTATAGACATGTGCCTCACATGGGATTTACGCAATGCTAAGAAATAAACACAAGGCTTCATTCGTGCCAGCAAAACACTCTACTCCAAAACTGTGGCTCCTCTATTTGACATGAGCATTTTCCCATGCTGCTATCATGTTCCTGACATTTCCCTGACTACTCAATGTCTTATCAAACAAAGTACCACAATGTACAAAACACACACTGATCTCCAGGGCAAAAAAAAAACATGACTTGTCAAATAAATTCCTAAATTATTGATATCTCATACACTCTTCAGAATTCAAGTACTTATCTGAAATTAGAACAAGTGAAAGATCAGACTGAAAGAGAGAGAGAGAGAGAGAGAGAGAGAGAGAGAGAGAGAGACCTGTTCCAAAAACTAAGCAAGGGACCACAGTGATTAAGTCAGTGTTTCTCAACTTGTGGGTTGTAACCCTTTGGGGAATCACATATCAGATATTTACATTATGATTCATGACAGCAGCAATATTACAGTTATAAAGTAGCAACGAAATAATTTTATGTTTGAGGGTCCCCACAACTACTAAAGGGTAGTGGCATTAGGAAGGTTGAGAACCACTGGATTAAGCACACTTACTGCTCTTGCAGAAGACCTGGGTTTGAGTCCCAGGACCTACAAGGCAGCTCACAACCACCTTTAAATCCATTCCAGTGGATGCAAAGCTCTCCTCTAGCCTCCAACAGTTCCTGCATACACATGGCACACATAAATTCATGCAGGTACACATACACATAAATAATAAAACATTACAAGCATGCACAAGCATGTTCTTCGAAAGCAAACCCAGAGGGAAAGGAACTCTGAATAGTAAGAATCATCTACAGGGATAGGCAAGATGGAACAGCAAGTAAAGGCATTTTTTACCACCAAGCCTGACAACCTGAGTTCAAACCCTGGAACCAACCTCTTCAAGTTTCCTTGGACTACAACGTATAAAGAGCATGTGCTTGTGCATGCACGTGTACACACACACATCAATGCCTCACCAACACATTCTGAATTTGTATCTACTGCCCAAGGACCGGCTTTAATAAACCTGGAATTACAGCATATTACTTGCTTTCTTTAAGGCTCTTGTCTCTGTATGTTAACTTTGTCATCAAAACCCAGGAAATGGTACCAACCTATTGCCACTTGGATACTGTACTACAATGTCATGATCTTCATCAATGCCACAGACAGTTCCAGTTGTAGTTAAAGTCTCAAACATCCCATCAGTCCATCCTCCATGGCCATGCTGCAAAGACTGTACAATTTCTAGGTCAAGGTCTATATTTACCAGGTCACCAATCTGCAATCCACCAGGATTCCTGTTGCCATTCTGCTCACCTGTAATTCCAAACATAATTAGTGAAAAGGGAAAAACGAATGAAAAAAGACAGTCACTGCAGTGTGCAACTACATTCATCTGTGTGATCACTACCTTGCTATTGTGACTGATTAGAAGTCTTTGTTAATTTTCCATTTCTTCTTTATCTTCTCTATTCAGTTGAGGTGTTTCTGTGTAAGAGTCTGCTCTTTACATTTAGTTTACCTCATTTACTGACCAAAAACTATTCATGGTATTCCCTCATAACCTTTTATGAAATAGTTTTTTCTAAGTGACACACAATAATTGTATATATTCATACATATACTATGATATCTTAACATATGCATACAATGTTTCCCATCCGCCCGCCATCCATCTTCCTCTGTGAAGCGGTACCACAGCCCTGCCACACAAGGCCCCAACCCGCAATCTCCAATAACTACCAACACTAAGTCAGAGTACAGCTTCTGTACCCCAAAAACCCTTGGGGATCTGCTTGGATGATTGCTGACTAACACTGCACCAGAGCCACAAAGTAATCAAACACAAACTGCAAGGGAGAAATGCCACCTCTTACTCAGAAGTGCTTAGTATTATTTCTAAAAACAAAATCTACATTTTGATCTAACACAATTAAAAATAAGACTCTGGAATAAAGATTTAAAGTCATAAGACACTACACTGTGGGATCTAATTGGTCATGCTAAGCCTATCCTTTTCTGATAAAGTAAGAAGGTAAGTGCTCACCAAGAGTATATGGATTCTCCTACTTTAAAAAGAAGTAAAAGTATGTTGGAAGAAAATAGCACTGTTTGAAAAGAAGAGGAGGACACTGCACAAGGAAAGCATCTGGGGCTCGGGGACATTGTCACAAGAAAATGGCAATAATGAATTTGTAAATGAAAGCAGCTTTGGCTTTTGTACTCTTTCAAAATGAATTGGTTTTGAAAATGTTCCTTTACTAAGAAATTAAGCTTTAAGTAACTGTGAGGTATTTATAAGCACGGAATTGTCAAATTGTTTCCTCAGTAGTGTGGGAGGTACAACACTGATATAATCTAATATAAAACTTTTCAATGGTTTAAGTTCAGTACATCAATTCCCAAGACATAACTCCTGTGAGTCTAAATAAACCATAGAAAGGGAATAAATGTTCCAGAACTAAAATGAAACCGAGTACTTCTCTACATATCTTTAATGATAATCAATTTTTCCTGTCCAGTTTAGACATTACCCTGATCGTATGAATCTGACTCATTAGTTGGCAATTTTCTTTAATCTGCTGACTCACCTAGCACAGGGCAATGATCTCTGTAGAAAGAACCTCCTTTGGCATCCTGGACACACTTCAGATCAGACTAAGAAAAGAAACCAGAAAAATAACCCATGAAAACTTGAAATATGGTGCAGTACCTGAAAAAGGCAACTTCTCTCAGCACACAGCAGAGTTAGTCCCAGTAGGGAGCCACATTTCACTGCTTCCAGAACCATTTTAGACTAGAACATTGATCTTCAGACAGACCTGATTTACCTTCAGCTATCTAATGTTAATGTTCAAAGTTAACACTGAACTTCAACATTAAGTATTTTCAAATGCACATGGAAAGCAATAAACTCTAAGAAATACCCAGTATTTGAAAAGCACACAACACATTGAAATCTTAAAATAATTTTACTCAAAACAAAAACCTCATCGAATTTGATACTTTCAAAACATTTATTAAAGATACAAGGCAAATGCATGTAAGAAGGGAAATTAGGTAAAACCAAGCAGCCTGCAGAAGCAGAGAATGGAACCAAATCCAGTCTTTGATCTTTTGCAGTTAACTTCTCTATCTAATTAATTAAGTTCCTTCCCACTTTTTACAAGAAAATATATTCATCCTTAATTAAGTAACTGAATGAGAAGACACCCGTGGTTACAAGTTACAAGAAATAATTAATCTTGGGTGTTACTTACAAAAAAATTTAAAGTGAGTTAAAGAAAAAAAAAAAACAAAGAAAAAGAATAGATCCACTAAAAAATGTCTAAGAGTTGCTGGTGCATACAGTAGGTGACTGGCATAGCCACACAGAACCCAACTCTGTAACAACCCATCTTGCACTATCCATATGTTACTCATCGCAAGACATAGACAAAGGCTTTGGTTATTTCAATGTAATAGTTTGATCCAGTAATTCTACATCCAAAGCTCCATCCTAAGGAAATATGTACATAATACGCAAAAGCATATGCAAGCAAACTGGCTGCCACCCCACTTACAAACTGCTGTCACCCCGCTTACCGACATGGAGAGGGAGGGAACACTCTTAAAGACAGCTCATTAAACTATGGCAGTGACCTCAAGAGCCATCAACTTACATATGGTCTTTATTCAACTACCTGAACACACACAGCACATACATCTTCATATGAAACAAATAGTTAGAATCCTAAAAAACAATTTACAATTCAAAAGCATGTATAGACAACTGAGTCATGAATATGCAGTAGGAAAGAAAATTAGCTCTCTTAGCCAATAATAAAATGTGGCATTACTAAAGCATTTGCTAGCTAGGCACATGCCTTTAATCCCAGCATTTAGGAGGCAGAGGGAGGCACATTTCTGAGTTCAAGGCCAGCCTGGTCTACAAAGTTAGTTCCAGGACAGACAGGGTGACACAGAGAAACGCTGTCTTAAAAAATTGAAAATAAAAATAAATAAATAAAGCATTTATTTTAAGCTCATATTGCCTTTCATATTTAAGTGAAATATATTAAAGAGACATCTGGCTATTCTTCTGCTCTCCAAATGGAAGGCAAAGAGAGCTGAGAAAAGAATGAAACAAAGAATTGTCTGGGCTGGGGATATAATTCAGTGCTAGGGCACTTGCCTAGCATGCAAAAAAACAAAAACAAAAACAAAAACAGTATTTAATTAAAATATAAAAATAATAATTCCTTAAGTGGGAATATATTCAGAATTGAAAGGTTATTAAAAATTTGCATTTCAGAATTAATAAACAGTAAGGCTGGATGGATATGGTGCCCACATCTTTAATCCCAGCACTCAGGAAGCAGAGACATGCAGACCTTTGTGAGTTCAAGGCCAGTTTGTTCTATATAGCAAGTTCCAAGCCAGACCCTGTCACAAAATAAAGTCACTACTTGAACAATGATCCATGAAACATAGAAATATAAAGCAATCTGCTGACTAAACCTACATTATTTTCCACTTAATTCTTCATGTTTCCAAGTTTATTGCTTTCATATCTTGTTTTTTGTTTTTGTTTGTTTGTTTGCAGCAGTCTCACTATGTAACCCAAGCTGGCCTTGAACTTGAGAGGCTTCCTCTACCTCTGGGGTGCTAGGACTTTGTGTACAAGATAATCATATTTAATCACCAAGTCTGTGCTTTAACAAAACTACAAGAGGGGCCAGAAAGATGGCTCAGCGATTAAAAGCACTGACTGCTCTTGCAGAGGACCTGGTATCAAGTCCCAGGACCCACAGAGCAGCTCATAACTGCCTGAAACTCAAGTTCTACGAGACCCAACACCCATGGCAAAACATCAATGTATATAAAATAAAAACTTAAAAAAAAACTTCCTTAAAAATAATGTACACTTTTTATCAGCTACCACAGCATAGAATACAAAAACTACTTCATGTTAATACTAGCCTCCAAATCTGTGCCAAGAGACAGCCCTGTTTATTTTTTTTGTTTAGATTTTAAAGGCTAAATCCACTGGACATTTTACTATGGCAAAATCTATTTACTATTAAGCAGTTTATATAAACAGGGTCTAAGTCAGGTATGAGGAGTTGAAGTCCTCACTTACAGACCTCCTTTCCTGCTGCAGGTTCATGGCTCAGATGCATCTCCTCCAACAAAAGAGACAGAGCACACACTCATGATGGCATCAGTTCCCACCATGGCGCACCCACTGTCACAGCCTGTGGGCTTCTTCACTACTCACCATGCCCTCAAAGCCAACTCTGTAAAGGTTCTTAGCACCATTATCCCAGAGAACATATGCTGCACTGTGTGGGCTTGATGCACTCCAGTCTTGGATTTCCGTTACCTAACAAAGTTAAGGGGGAGGAAAAAAAAATCTTTAAAAAATAGAAAGCAGCATCCAGACAGTGGTAGCACATGCCTTTAATCCAGGCCCTCAGAAGGCAGGAGGAGGATCTCTGTGAGTTCAAGGCCAGCCTGATCTACAGAGCAAGTTTCACAACAGCCAGGGCTACACAGAGAACCCTGTCCCAAAAAGCAAAGAAAAACAAAAAGGGGGAAAAAAAGAAAGAAGAGGTTAGATGCTTTAATTATACTGAAATCTTAAAAATCTTTTCATCTATCAACCCATAAAAAAAAAAATCAAGAAAAAAATACCTATTTGCCAAATATCACTTTTAGCATTGCTGAACTATCAATAAAGTCCTATTTCTCCACAATTACACATTTTATTAAGACAGAACATCCTTGAGTAGCCCATCTCCACCTCAAACTCGAAATTCTCCCGCCTCTGCTTCCCAAGGGACAGAACTGCATGACGTGTTTTACCAAATCCAACTTACGTAACTGTTTATGCTGGTTTTTTTCCTTGTGGTACTTAGCCCTGGGCTTTTCTGTATACTAGGCAAGTATTCCACTACTGAGTTGTATCCCCCAGCCTGGTGTTGTTGTTGTTGTTGGGGTAAGGGGTGTTGAGATAAGCTGTGAGAACACAGCCCAAGGTGACTTTAAAATTCCTTTTGGATTACAGGGTTACGTCACCACACATGCCCTTACCTGAGCATTATAAAGTACATTCTAATATCACTGTAGAAATTTTTAAAAGGTTATCAGAAAATGAATAATGCAAATTTTAAAATCCTTTAAGAACGCAGCTTACGCCAGGCATTGGGGTAGTTCATGCCTTTAATCCCAGCACTCGGGAGGCAGAGGCAGGCGGATCTCTGTGAGTTCAAGGCCAGCCTGGTGAAAAGAGTGAGTTCCAGGACAGCCTCCAAAGCAATACAGAGAAACCCTGTCTCAAAAAAACAAAAAAGAAGAAAAAAAGAAAAGAAAAAGAAAAAAAAGTACAGCTGACTCTTTTTAGCCAGCTATCCAATACATAATTTAAAATCTTTAAGCATTTATCTAAACAACTGAAGATAAACCTGTGTTCTAGTCAGCTACAATATGACAAAGCCAATGCTGTTAACAATGTCAGTGACACTGAGCCGCTCAGTTGCAAAGAAAGCAGGCTAGCCCAGCCAGAACAGCATGCTACGGTGGGTACACAGACATAATGCCCCACCACAAGCTAACTGATTAAACTTAACGTGTCAAACTCTAAACTGTTCTCTCTTCTCTCCCTGCTCCCCACCACACACAAACACACAAGCCATGCATGCAGGCACTGATTCTTTACTAACCCTTAAAGGCCTAGAGTCGAGTGCACAGAGTGGCATACAGTGAGCAGCACCAAAGGTGGCACTCAGTCAGACACCTAAGAGCAGGTAGCTGCTCAAATACAATCCAAATAACTTTTCTCCATTCTAACACTCATATCCACTAGCCCTTCAAAAACATAAAAAAAAAGACCAATATTACTTTAAGTAATATTAAACGTTCTTTTCTGCTCTGTACTCAAGAAATAGCTTTGTGGGATAGGCAGTACTTTTGTAGAAATAAAACAGTTTCATTTTTAACATTTAAGAAACCATTTGAGAAATGCTTTAAATTACTAATAAGGTCATATATATTTAATTTTTATATGTATTGTAAAAAACAAACTAGGCATATTCTTAAGAATAAAAAAGAAATGAATGCCCTTACAATTATTCTACTACCTTTAAAAATGAATGCCTTTTTAAAGCAGTGGGGGCACACGCCTTTATTCCCAGCACTCAGAAAGCAGAGGCAGGCTGATCTCTGTGAGTCTGAGTCAAGCCTGGTCTACAGAGTGAGTTCTAGGACAGCCAAGGCAACACAGAGAAATCGTA